GGATAATGTTATCATCTACCGAGGCTTTGGCTAAATCTTGGTGGCACTTTAGTACTAGCTCTGAGGTAACACGTTGTATTTCCAAGGCTGATAGGTCTTGTCTGATCTCAGTGTAGATTGTTGTGTTTTTGCCAGAAACTGCTTTCCTGGTTATTTCTTTTGTGACGATTGAGGTACCAGCCACGCTGGTATTTTTTTCCATTCTCCACTCAATCCGTAGGCTTAGTGATCTGGAGTACACTCCACATCCTGAGCCTTCTTTAGTTTTTGAGCCGTCTGTATATATGCGTATTGCATTTGTAGCATCTGACTCTGTGTTCTGTTTCATTAGTATTTTGTAGAGTTTATCAAATACAAACCTGGGTTCAATTGCATACTGGTTGTCTGCAGCAAAGGTTGCGCAGTTAGCGCTTCTCGCCACAGACTCAGTCTCAATTGGCCCATTCTCACTTCGAGGTTCACACCAGCCGTGCGCAATCGTTACATGGCTATCAACACAACCTCCTTAAAGGAGGTTGTGTTGACATATATCCATGATTCGCCACCAATTATGACCCTGAGCGATGCTTATGCAACAGTTTTTTTAGTCAAAATACGGCTTGGACCAAACGCTCCATTCCCAAAAACTGCCCATCATGAGCCAACCGATATGACAGCATCCTCAGTTACTCCTCTAATAGTGATTCAACGAATGTACATAACAATTTTTCTCAACATTCATATCGATTGTTGATGTGCTGGGGCGACTAGAGCGAGCGTCGTCATTTACATCTTCTCGACCTTTTGTGAACAACTTGTACCACTTATAAAAAAAATTACTCAGAGTATAATCACCGTATGCCACTATCATTATTTCGAATGTTTCTGAGAAGTTAATTCCATTTTTTACACAACAAATTCTTTGATTGATTTTTTCGATGACTGAAATTCGCCGAGCAGTCAAAACATTTGTAATTTTTATGCCTCTTACCAACAAACTGAAGATGCTATACTGTAGTTCCGAAATGGTAGGCACTAATTTCTCAGAAATGACTGACGTTTTCGCCTCAATCTGTCTCTTGCAGTGGCGTACGGAAATTATACCAAACAGATGAGGAAAAATAAAGGTAAAATGTATAGAACCACAACCTTGACAACAATGTTTTCGTTTTAATGCAATAATATTCCTGAGAATTAAGTGCCTACTATTATGGAATTTTACTTTGAACAGCTGAAACTATGAACATATGTTCGAGCTGAGTGTACCAACATAAAAAAATCGCTAATCGAATGTAGGTANAAAAAAACACTAATCGAATATACGTAGCCCGCGAAATTTTGAACATTTACCCTATTTTTTTAAACGTACATCATTGAGAATTAACTAAAGACCAAGAAGTTTCATGAAATTCTATATACTTAGAATCTATGCCAAGTATTATAGGTATATTTATATTCAGGTATTTGTGTTAATGCTATTTATGCTTGAAATACATACTAGATTAGATAATAAACAATTTAGACTAGTTTCAAAGCATGTACATATGCTTTCAAAATGGAAGAAAAAATTGTACAATACATTTTCATGTCATGATTTCCAAACGTGAGAAATAGAAATGAAAAAAGTTGAATTACATAATATGATTCATAACTACCATATTTTTGATGACATAGGGTTGAAGAAATTATAAATGAATTATAAACGAGAAAAACCAAATATAAACTCCAAGTAATCATCAATTTATATAGAAAATGCAATGAAGTTTGCCAGCCTCGCGCTTTGTGTATTCCCAATAATGATGTCATCATGGCGTCCGCTTTTACTTTGAGAATTAAGCACAACCTTCTGTGAAACTGAAAGAAAAACTGCAACAAAATATTGAACAATGAAAAAATATGGAATAAAAGTTATTTTATTATGATTTTTGGTTTTTCTTCAAGTTCATTGATTTCACTATTCTAATGATGACGTCATAGCTTCATTATCCAAGTAAAACTAATGCGCAATTTTCGGAAATTTTCACGCGTGTTCCCAGGGGTGTTTCGGAAAAGATCGCTCAAAGGTAACTAACTAAAATTTTGTGGGCTGCCCCCTTTTAGAATGTCTCTCTTGGTCATATGATTTTTTTGTTAGGTATGTGAGAAATGAATGTACGCAGTTGAAACCAGAATAATTCGATATATAACTATCGATAATGTAATAATTGGGAATAATTTCCGTTAGGCGCATGTTTATTGATATATTGATTAATTTATTTTTGAACCGTCTTTTTCTGTAAATAACCCCAAACTGTGTATTTTCACTTCGAAACTCGAATATACGGACATATTTTTGCCTCTAGTCGTTCATTTTATGTTATTTTGAAGATAATTAACGAATTCACGAAAACACAAGTTGCAATATTTCACCTTATAGATTTGCTGCATTTATTTTGTTATTTATCCCTATTTTGTCAGATCAGTCGTTTAAAACGTTGAATATAAAAATCAGAAGAACAGGAATTGTGAAAGAATTTCTAAAATCTTGAGTTAGTTGCCATTCGACTGGTCTTTTCTGGAACAATTCAAATGAATGCTTTTGCTTCTTGCTGATGCTTCAACACTTGCATTGCTTCACTTTTGCCAAAAATAACTTTTAAAATGAATGTATAGATATCGATTGCTTGTGCTGACTGATACATCAATGATTGACTCCAAAGGAACTTCCTATCTCTATATAAAAAAAATAAAATGTGAGGGTTGTCTCATTGGTTTATACAGGCCGTTATTTTAGCTGATTGTATGTTAGGCTCTACCGCCTTCATTTCGAATGATATAAAGAGGATGCAGAGAAACTTTCAATAATGTTTCATATTTGTTTTGATCTTATACATTACACATACATTCTGTGTGAAAGACCTATTGATGCCATTATGTGTGAAATATAACATTATTCATAATAGGTGGCCCAAGCGGGGATTTCGCGATTTATCAAAGTGCGGCAGATCAATATACAGGGGGATACCTTGTACCCGGTTGAGTACCTCCACCAAATATGAGCCTCATATATAATAAGGCGGCCTGTGAGGGATGAAGGATCAGATTAGTAAATAAAAATTGATCATCAGAAATTCTCGATCGCTTCAGATTAAGGTAGGGTGAGTTAATTACCTGCTAAAAAGTGTATATTCCAGTAATCTGACAATTTGAGAGTGACGTGAAGAAAGAGGAGGGCAGCAAAGTTGTTGCTTCCCCCACCGACGAAAAGGTTTATATTATACAAATTTTTTTTTCCTCATCATCTAAGCTTTGCAACCCTAATATGTCTCAATAACGCTCGAGTAAATCCCCATTTTGCATCGTGGGCTCCCCTGCTATCAAATGTCGGCCACTGCTTTTCTGGGTGAAGCGCATTCGAAACGTCCAATTTTTCACCACTCTGGCGCATATATTAGGCTGAATTTGACCAATGGCAAGGGATGGATATGTTGACTTGAGGATCGCTGTGATATGTGGCTCATTCACATACACCTGCGACTTCAGAAAACTCCACAAGATAAAGTCTAACGGCAATGAGGCATGAGCTGTGTAGCACCGTCATTCTGAAACCACATCATCCAATTCAGGCCAAAAGAAGTTGATTATCATTGACCTATAGGGCCTGCCGTTGACAGTGATGGCCTGGCCAACGTCGTTCTCAAAGAAATATGGACCAGTGATGCCTTCAACCCAATATCTATACCAAACAGTGACTTTTATGGAATGCATTGGACGCTCTTAGATCTCATGTGGATTGGTATCGTCCCAAAATGGACAAGTTTGTTTGTTCACGTATCCATTCATTCGGAAATGGGCCTCATCGCTAAAGATGATTTTTAGATGAGAATTAGCATCAGTCGCAAACTGCTCCAGAGTCCATTCAGCGAACACACTCCGTTGTCTTCGGTCGTTTTCCTCCAGTTTCTGGATCAGTTGAATTTTGTACTGGTGCAGGCCAAAGTTACGACGCAAAATTTGCCAAGTTGTTGTCTCCAAAAGGCCGAGTTCTTGTAAGCGACGCGAAATCGACCGCCTCGAATTCTCCTGCACACTCTCACAGACAGCGGCGATGTTTTTGGCAGATCTTGCGTTTCGTCGACCTACAGGTATTGGTCGATCGTTTACTAAACCAGTGGACTCAAATTTGTCCACAGCATTGCGAATAATCTCCTCGATGAGCGATTGTGATGACCATAAAAAAAATTTGATAAAATAATTTCATGATTAGCACGTGTTGTTGAATGCTGAAATAATCACAACTGATTTGACAGATGTAGCTTCAGCAAGATGTCCGTTTATCAATTGTCAAAGTTCGGAAGTCTCTGTTGAAAGACCCTTCATGAATCAGTTTGCAATGCGACGTTTCGTTCATCGGATTTCATCATCAATTAAATTTTTCCATATACAGTATTGTAATATATAGCTGAATTTGATACTACAGTGGCTACAAAAATCGATGGAAAACACAAGAGGTCCATGTTTGAAAAATGTAGGTTGATGATGAAATCCAAGGAACGAAACGTTGCAGTGCAAGTTGGTTTGTATCAGAATATATTAAATATGAAACAGTATCGAAAGTTCCTCTGCCTTTTTTTATATCATTCGAAATAGAGGCGGTAGAGCCAAAAAACAAAAGACGACAGTTCTAGCTTTTGACTAATATTTAAAAAACAATCACTGATATTCTTGATTTGACAGGAAATTATTCTAGTTCCCCAGAATTGGAAACTTTTATTCGATTTAACTGACCTTGTACGTCTTATCCTTTCCGAGGTAAACAGTGGGATCAGCTACAAAAAACAGCCTGTACATGGATACATAAAAAATCATCCCGTGACATGTTATTATCCTTGTTCATGTCGCTGAACCGTGGTAAGATTTAACTACGTTTGGAAGATTGTCATATCCTTTGGAGTTGCAAATCTATCGAACAAAGAAATGAATGCATGTTGGGATAAACCACAGAACAATGTGGATAGTTTGATATCGAATTATTTCAACAGGTGGAACGACGAGGGCACAATGGGAAGATGTTACTGGTTCAACCCCACTTACATTCGTCAACGACTGTGTGTCTTTCACAACGACAGTTTCGGCAAGATTTTGGTTAATGGACTGTCGAAATATCGGCGATGCTACAAAAATGGCGACCGAATTATACAAGTAAGTAGAATAAATCGATTACTGCTATCTTGTGATGCACTGTTTGGAACTTTTGGTGAAGTGATGTATATCAATGGAGTTTTTTTACAACACCTAACCGTTATTTTAACAACTCGGCACGTGTTTCGATCACCAAGTGATCATCTTCAAGGGGAAGATCAAACTAACTGTTACTTAGGTTGATCTGCAAGAAGAAAATCAAACTAACTGTTAGTTAGTTTGATCTTCCTCTTGAAGATGATTACTTGATGATCGAAACACGTGCAGAAGTGTTCAAATAACGGTTTGGTGTTGAGAAAAAACTCCAGTGATATTTACCGCTATTTTGAGAAGTTTCATAGGTGTGTTGCTGATTTAGGTCACGTGTCAGTTGGTTAATTTATCAAAATCGAAATTGAATTAATTTCTTCACAGTGCTTTGATAGTCTAGGCAGGCCTTTTAATGTGATGTAAAGATTTATTGAACTTTAAGTGAGAATTTTGCAGTATNTTAACATTTTCAAATGTCAGAATAAATAAATAGTTTATGAGATTGTGTCGAAGCTATTGTTCCGGATGGTTATCGATATTATTAATATTGATTCTCTTTTCTTTTCAATTGAAATTGTTTCCGTGTTTTTGAATTTTCATTTCCATCCATCCATTTATCAAGCACCTGGATAATTCTGGTAATTTCGCAGAGTGAATGTACTGTTTTTATGAAGGCGAAACACAAGTACTACAGAAAAATCCTTAAGGCGCTCTTCAAGCGGTGCCTGTGCGAAAATAATGATTCACATTGGATTCATCATCACATTATCATCCTTTAGCTTTCTACTTCTTCATATTCACCCAAAANCACAGTCCGTCGCGTATTTCTGTTATGTACCGCTCTTGGTGAAATCGATTGTGCCAAGTCACTCGAACACTTCCCGTGAAAATATCTATAGAAGAGATACAAATCTCCAACCTTCCAGTCTATTAAGGTTGCAAGTGATGTTCCCGTCTCCAATCAGGCGGATGGCTCTTTTCTGGATGGAATTCAGCAGCTTCAGGGTATGTTTCGGGGCGAAGCCCCATACATAAGAACGAAACTCCAAAGAAGGTCTGATCTGGGCTTTATGAAGCATCAAAAGTTGCTGAGGTGTGTACAATTTTCTGGTTCGGAACAGTGTTTCAAGCTTTTGAGAAGCAGCCTTTGCACATCTCGATTGGGCCAAGACATATTGGTGTTCATTCCAACCCCTAACCAAGGCAGAAAGTGGAATTGTCTGACCTGACATTATTATATCCGGTACGGAAACATTTATCTATTTGGAGAAAACCGATGCCTAGGTTTTTGTGGCATTAAATGGAACCTGATAACTTTCACCCATATTCGAAATTACTTCTAGATCCTCATCAAGATGTTGAACCTCCTGCTGCCGGTGAAGATGTGCATCCGCAGATGATGCCCTGTCGTCAGCAAATCAATATATTGGGTTCTTGGTTTTTTCCAATAAGTCGTTGTCATACAAAAAAATAGGGTTGAAGACAATATATATCCCTGGGGAACACCAGCGTTGATGGTGGAAGTATTCCAAGGATATCCATCGACGACCACTTGCAGGGAACGTTCTTTCAGGAAGTTGAGAAGCCATACACAAGCTACTGCCAAATTGATGGTATGCACCAGATGAGTCGAGTGTCAGGGAGCCGAGTATCTAAATTACTTTTCTTAGTTCCATTTTAGGCCGACTCGTAGCAACCAGGGATCCGGTATACCCCCGGTGTATACCGGGCTGAAGGCTCTCTTGGGTTCTCAGTTGACCCTTAGACTTTTTATAATAGTTTTCGTTGGCCTGATACCGATTTCATGTTGTACCATCAGAGAGACTCAAAGGTCAGCCAATGATCTCAGAGAGTCTTCATCAACACCGTGTGTTTGCTCGATCCCTTGTATATGAGGATCGGTTCACATTGGAATCACAATGAGAAATGTTTATACACGGCTCTCCCAACACAGGAGAAATTGTCGCCCGGGGCATATCGACAAATCAGAAGTGGTCGAACATACCATTTGAAGGGGCCAGGGTGGTGTAAGGAACACTCACTGTCGATCAATCCCAAGAAGACTAAGATGGTCCTTTTCACCAGGAAAAGAAGTTTGACGGGCTTGAAACCTCCCGAAATCTTCAAAAGCAAACTAAACTTCTCTGAAGAGGTAAAATACCTTGGTACAAGTGGTACAGGTCACTAGGAGATGTCTCCCAGGAAAGGACAGGATGGACGATGGCTTAGGAGGACAACTACTCGGGAGGATGTAAAATGGGTCACATGTGGCCTAAGTGCTGTGGGCTTACACTCCCCCTCTCTACTCTACAGATACAGAGGGCCAGGGTGCTTGATAGAATTCAGAGCTATAACTCAAAACTGAAAATAAAAGAAATCCAAAAACTATTTCGGTAAAAGATTCTGGCTATCTGCACTGAATTACACTGTTTAAAAAGGGTCATTTTATTTGACCAGTAGAAATCAAGAATCAATGGATCAAAACCAGAGACTTCAACCTTGAATATAGTATTTACTGTAAGAATTACCCGAGCATTAGGTCCATTGACTCATCCCATTCAATAATGTCTACCGTGGGAGTAGATAAAACATCGATCATGAAAACCTGCATACCTTGGTTATCAAACCCAAAAAATAGCTTCGAAACAGTTACATCTGGTTGTGATATTTGAAGAAGCCCAACCACTTTTTTTCACCTAATTATGTACTTTTGCAATATTTGAATCTTTTTTAAGTCTTTGAATTATAGTTTCAAGAAGTGAAAAAAATACCCAACTTTTCAAAGAACAAAAGTATCTAGCAAATTTATTGAGCATGAATACTTTATTTTGAAGTGAAATTGACAGATGAAACTTTCAAGATGGCGACTGGGTGCCATCTGGGAAAAAATTAAATGGAAAGGGGGATTTTCTGACACATCGTTTTGAAGCTCCTGACAAATGCTTCACAACCCTAGAATATAATGTCAATATCTTCAACTACTATGAAATGGAACCTTCAATAATTCCCTGAATACATTGACATTTAACTACATACGCTTGAGTTCAGTTCAAAAGATGCTCGAAATGGTTGCCTTGAACTTCTTGACATATGAACAGCATATCCGATATTTCACGCCGAACATTTTCGAACACAGTAACGTCAATAACTCTACAAATATTAATTATTCTCTGTCGTTTATCCAATATTGAAGCAAGTTCACTTTCGTTCACCGTTTACTTCAAATAGTCATATAACGAAAAGTCCAAAGGTGTCAAATCTGTCGAGCGGGCTGGCCATTCCGTAGGACCTCGACGGCCAATCCAACGACTGGGAAAAATAGTACCCAAATAGTTTCTTATTTGTCTGGATGTTGGGTATGTGTTTCCCGGAAAAAGTGTTGTTCAGTGTCGTACTGACATTTTTTACGTTTTTTTAAACAGAAAATAACTTAACAAACCTTATCGGGTTGTTGAAATTGCCATATGGTAGATAAAAAGGAATATTATTAGAAATATCGATATTAATGTGTTTGCCTTCAGGAAATTATTAAATGTTCCGCATTTTGTAGTAGCTGAAGATGTTGACTTCATATTTCAGGGTTGTGAAATGTTCGTCAGAATTTTTGACATGATGTATCATAAGACCCCCTTTTCATTAAATTTTTTTCCCAGATGGCGCCCAGTTGCCATCTCGAAAGTTTCATCTGTCAATTCCACTTCAAAATGAAGTATTCATGCAATCATTTTATCATTTCGAATTTCAATTTTTTGAGTTGACCCGTTCAAAAAATTAAAAGGGGGGACATTAAAGAAATGCACTGTATATTCGACACTTTCCACTTATATAAATTATTCTGTATATTTCTATATCTTCTGTTCTATACAGATGAAGCAACTAATTTTTTTGTTTATTCAGGGAGGCGATTCATGTCCCGTTCATGGCAAAATTCGTGGTATTCGCAAAACGAGTCGATCCTCTGGAAGCAAGATTGAGGGTATTTTGTATGACTGACGACAAAGAGGATAAGACTCTTGAACATCAAGAACACTTCACGGAGGTAGCAAAAAGCAGAGATGTAGAAGTACTCGAAGGAAAACAACAATACGTCGAATTTGCTGGAAATTTGGTACCGATAACCAAGAGTGGGGAACAGCTTTCGTTTTCCTTCAGGGCATTTAGAGAGAATAGGCTTCCATTTTCTGTGAGAGTTAAAGACCAGCATGCTGAAGCTGTTAGCAGGTGTCTTTTCATGAAAGAACCTAAGGTAAATATAATATTTGGATCCTATTTAACACCAAATCCAATTTTCTGTTTCAGTTTTACTAGTTGTTCTTGATATATTTCTAGTCTAACATTTCTAAATATAACAATTGAATTTATAAACAGAAAGTATTTGTTTTATTGAAGAAAAAAGTAATACAAATCAATAAATTATGAAACAACAAAAATCAATTGGCGCTCCGGGGCGACTTCATTGATTCCAGTGGCGCATTTGCTTTTGCAGCTGCAGAAAAACCTGCAGCACCACATCGTCTGAAGATCTTGATCCGCCAATGTCCTCTCTTTCATGAAACAAAATGTATGGTGTCTCCGGAGGTTCCAATGAATTCAGAACTTCTCCAGAACATTTAGTGACATGACTATCGTCAAACTTAAACCAGTCCGTTTCATCTTTGACCAGTTGCGTAATAATGACCTGATTCAACGCCAGAACCATAGTGAACAATGACTGCATGAAGATTATAATAGTTGTCTGCTAGATTGAAATGTTCATCTATTTTGAACTTCCATAAGAATTTGGTGCATCCGTCAGAGATTGAGTCAAATTTGAAGATAATCTGTGTCATTGTTAGATTGACTGGTGCCCCAGCTATACTTTTTTTCTTATGATAGTCAATTAGTTTGGCGCATGTTTGGCAATTCATTATTTTTTCAGCAAACAGGATAATGAATCCTACCAAAAATCTTTTTTGTAGAGGAAATCAGAATTGTCCATCGCCCCTCCTTTGGTATTTTCATCTTTCACGTACTGAAAAAATATAAAAATGTAATGCAGAACTTCATACAGGTGTGAAAAGGCAAACTTTCTTATTCACCCCTGTAAAGTATGAGGTCTCCATACATTTTCACTTTTTGCAGAAGACACTATCATCCTCTGGCATGAAAAAAGCTCAGCAATTGGAATATCTATCACTAGTNGGATATTATTTATAGTTTGTCACATGATTTTTGATTTATTGTGAGAACTATTTATCTTATGCTCAATGCATCTTTGATTATTCTGCTTTAGTTTATCCCTGAATGTTATAGTTACTTGGTGACATATATCCTTGAAATTTTCGTTTACTCTCGCGCATTCTGAATATAGAGAAACCATGTTCTTGAGGTTATACAGTTCGGGGGTAAGGGAGTTAGAGTTGACTTTCTTTGTTTTTTTTGTCTGTTTGAGTGGAAAAGATACCTCAATATAATATTGAAGGATTTCATGAAATCTATCATATGCTTCGTTAGGACATCTTTCCTTGAAAACATGCTGCCAGTTCTCGTTTTAAAATCTGAGATATTTTTCTACAGTTGATACCCCAAAATCAAGCAGTCGAATGAAATATGTTACAAGGCAAATATCGGAAAAAAAAATACCTCTCCCTAGTCCGAAATCTACTTTGAAAGCTTAAAAATATATATAATCACGTACCCTTCGGAATCAGAAATGAGAAAATTCATTACAAATTCAGAAAAATAATGAGAGAAGCTCTACCCCAAAAAATCTATAATATCGAGGAATTTTACAATAAAACTCTGCGATGATTTAATTTTAGATATGATTTTATTCTCAGTATATATCATTTATTTTTGGGAAAGAAAGAATCTTCCAAGGAAAGAAAGAAATCGATGGAAAA